AGTTAATAGGAAGAGGAGTAGAAATTGGCTTATAATCTTGCATGTTGAATCATGACAAGATTTTCTTCAAGTAATTCTTTTGTGAAAGCCAAATCTTCTTATTACTTCTATCTCGGTGAATTTGCATCCCTAGAATCTTGTTTGCTGATCCCAAGTCCTTCTTTTCAAATTCCCTAGCCAGTTGTGCCTTCAATTCTTCAATATGATCTTTGTTGGGTCCTGCAACCAATATGTCACCCACATACAACAACAATATAACAAAATCGTTATCACCAAACCTCTTGAAATAAGCACAAGGGTCTGCATTAAGTCTGTTGTATCCAAGGCACACAATGAAGGAATCAAATCTCTTATACCAACACCTCGGCGCCTGCTTTAGACCGTACACAAATTTGTTCAAACTGTAAACCAAGTTTTTCTTTTCGCCTTCTTCAAAACCTTCAGGCTGGAGTATATAAATTTCTTGTTAAAGATTTCCATGAAGAAAAGCTGTTTTAACATCTAGTTGTTCTAGATGCAAATTCAATGTAGCACACATTGCCAAGACTACTCGAACTGTTGTTAGTCGAACCACATGAGAAAAGATTTCACTGAAATCAATACCTTCTTTTTGAGCATATCCTTTGACCACCAGTCTTGCACGATACCTCTCAACTTGATCGTCACCATTTCACTTGATTTTGAAGACCCATTTGTTACCAATTGGCTTCCTTCTTTGTGGTAGTGACACAAGGTCCCATGTATTATTTTTAAGAAGAGCTTCAATTTCTTATTGCATCGCCATCATCCACAGTGAAGCATCTGAGCTGTTTATTGCCTCTTGGTATGTTGATGGCTCACCGTCCTCTGTTAAAAGGCAGTATGCAATATTTCTTTCTATAACATAATCTGAGTGTCAATTGGGACATCTTCTCACATGATCTGATTGATGAATTATTGGAGCTTCAGAACTCTCTGGTTCTTGTTCATCATGTGCTGGTTCTGCTTCAGAAGAATCTCCTTGTGAAGAATCTCCTTGTTCAACCTCCTTTTCCACATGTATCTGTGTAGTCTCTAATTTTTCAGCGCTATCATTGTCTTCTTTTCTTTGTAGTTTATCTTCTATAAAGATAACATCCCTGCTGATGACCACTTTGCGAACAGTGAGATCCCACAAGCGATACCCCTTTACACCATCAACATACCCCAAGAATTTGCATTTCTTAGATTTTGGATCCAACTTTGAAATTTCTTGGGAGTTGTACATCACGTACAAAATACTTCCAAATACATGGAGGTTTGAATAATCAGCTGGTTTACCAGTCCACATCTCCATTAGTGTCTTCAGCTCTATTACAGTTGATGGAGCTCGATTCACCAAATAACAGGCGATATTAACTGCTTCTGCCCAGAATGATTTTTCTAGGCCTGTATCCCTCAACATTGCTCTTGTTCTTTCTAACAAGGTTCTGTTCATCCGCTCTGCCACTCCATTTTGTTGAGGAATGTTCGCCACTGTGAACTGTCTTTTGATGCATTCTTTCTTGTAAAAATCATCAAATTATTCACTTGTGTATTTTCCTCCATTATCTGTTCTGAAACACTTGATCTTATTTCTAGAATCAAGTTCCACCCGCGCTTTGAAGTTTTTGAAAGTTGAAAACACATCTGACTTCTTCTTAATAGGGTACACCAAACATCTATTGGAGTAGTCATCAATAAATGAGAGAAAATATTTTGCTCCGCCTAGGGATGTAACTGGTGCTTGCCATACGTCAGAGTGAATCAATTCTAGAACACTTTTGCCTCTAGAATTTGATGTGTTGAATTTCAACCGGTTCTGTTTACTTGTTATGCAATACTCACATAAAGTAAGTGATACCTTTGTTAAGCCTAGAAGTAGCTTTTGCTCCACAAGGACTTTTATTCCTTGTACTGAATTTGTCCAAGTTTCTGATGCCATAGCATTGCAGAATCTGAACTACATGAGGCAACAGAGGCTTCCGCTTCTAGCAAAGTCTCTCCATTCAGCATGTACAAGTTTGCTGCTATCTTTTCGCCTTTCATCACCACTAGTGCTCCACGGAACACCTTCATGATTCTTTTCCGTGTTTCAATCTTGCTTGCATTATTATCCAACAATCCGTAGGATAATAAATTTTTCTTCAGGCCTTTCACGTACCGCACATCTCGAACAACTTTAATTGTTCCATCATACATCTTCAATTTGATGGTTCCCATACCAATTATCTCTAAGGCATGATCATTGCAACTATACATAGATCATCCCGAGACAGGTTCATAATGATGAAACCATTCTCTTCTTGAGGTCATGTGATATGTCACTCCCAAATCAATAAGCCATATATTTGTAAATCATTTTCTGCCTTCCACGGTGGTTGACACTTCACAACATAGAGCATCTCCATCATCTGAAGTGTTTGCGGTATTACTTGTGGATTGGAGTTTTTATTTAGACTCCAACAATCCTTCTTCAAGTGATCATTCTTTCCACAGTTGTAGCACTTTTAATTCTTTTTGTTTCTCGACTTCGATCTACCATGTTTGTGACTGCTACTTTGGCCACGTTCTGTTGATCTCCCTCTCATCGTTGTCGACGTTTCTGCTTGTTACAGATTTACTTGTTTGTCTTCCTTGTTTTTGCGCCGATTTTCTTCTTGTAGAACAGCAGCTGCAACGTCATCAAAGACTAAACTGGTGACATTACTGTTTGTCAAGTTGATGATGAGTTGATCATACGAATCAGGTAGACTTTGAAGTAGAAGTTCAACCCGTTCTTGTTCTCTTATTGTACATTTTAAGGATGTAAGCTGGGAAAATAAAGTGTTCAGTGTGTTTAAGTTCTCCGTCACTGAAGTAGATTCTGACATACGGAGAGTGTACAATTTCCTCTTAAGGAAAATTTTATTGTGCAACGATGTGGCCTCGTACAATTTGGTGAGATGATCCCATATCTCCTTAGCTGTCTAGATGAAAGTGTGCCATAGCATTCCCGTCCATTTCGATCCATTTGTTTTCATCTGTGAAATCCACCGGCCTTTCACTGATAGCTGCTAGACAACCGTCTTTTCTCAGGATAGCCTTCATCTTCAATTTCCACAATGAAAAATTTCTCCCATTGAATTTTTCAATATCAAATTTTGTTGCCATAGCTTCTATTATGGATAGCTCTCACTATTTCACTATCGTGAATATTTCTCTGGAACCTTCAAAGAATGAGTGATACATTCTTACTTTCTTATGTTGGAGGATCCACCTTTTTGTGGCAACCACAAAGACAATAAGTAGATATTACATACTTAAATCTGGCTCGGATACTAATTGTTGCGGAAGACAGCTATCGGATAGAGCAAAATCGCAACTGATAATTTGAGAAAATAAAAAAAAAGATAAAGAAGACACAAATTTTACGTGGAAAACCCCTAAATAATATAGGGTAAAAACCACGGGTAATGGTAGAAGAATTTCACTATGAGAAAATAGGAATTACAACTTCTCTCGATCTACCAACGAGAAAACAATGATAATTCTCTCTTGATAAAAAGGAGAAAACAACTCTCAAGAAACTCTCTAAATTCTCTAGTATTGGGAGAAAGTTAGAATGATTTGGGATGGATTTGAAGCTAAATGAGCTAGGGTATTTATAGTTGAAGCTTAAGGACTAATCTTATAAATACCCTAACGTACAATGACTAAATTGTGATTTTATCATTTTCTAAATTTCCACAAATGCTACACCGAAAGTTTTACCAGCCCACCCACCGAAAGTTGTTTTCTTTTTTTTTTCTTTTCAACATTTATCGCCTTTAATACGAAACCAAAGAAGACACTATCAAAATTTGAGAATGGGTAAATTCAATCAATATCTCATGTACTATACATAAGCATAATATAAAAGCGTAGGAATAGATAAAGTAAATTGAGCTAAACTATGCGCACAGTGGCAGATATATGTTTTATTCAAAGTATGTATCTATCCTAATTTTATTTATTTATTTATTTTATTAATTGTATTAACTCTAAAATTTTATTTATATTGATACTTTATAAAAAATTTATTATTTAAAGTTGGAAACATTTAAAAATATTTTTAGATCGACACTTAATGCGCAGCCCACAAAAATACAAAAAATGATATTTTAATAATTTCCTAATTAAGTTGGGATACATTTTATCTCGCACACAACTAACCCCGATGGACCCAATCCTTCCCACCCTATTTGTGCCTGCACAAATAAGCCAAATGAATGGAATGTGGACATAATTATTCTACATAAGTATAATTATAAATAAAATTATTATTTTGGTGTTTTTTCTAATTACCAACAATCTTAATTTATCATCATATCTTTAAATAATATTTAAATAAAAAGTTAAGAACAAATGACAGTGGATCAAGGTTCTTTCTAAGGAAACCTCACTGTTAGTGTATCGAGTAATTATCTTACAAATATATTATAATTACAAATCTAAAATCTATTTATCTTCTTATTTTTTACACTATTTTTACCAGTATTAAATCTAAAACCCACATGTGGGCATTGCATTTCGTTTGGGCTAGCCTGGATCATAATCGGGTCAGCGCCTAGGTCCACATCCATCGTTCTTAAGATATTTAAATTAGGGTAAATTATGTCACCATGGTTTCGTTTTATAACTTTTTTTAAATTATGTATAAGGTTAGGTTTTAGTTTTATTTTAATAAAATATTATTAATAAAAATAGAATTACTAACATTGTATTTTTTTTAATTTTTTCCCAATGATGACGTGACATCGTATTATGATATTCAAAAGAGAATCAAAACATAATGTTATGTATAATTTAAAATAATTAGTTGAATTAGAAATGAAACTGTGAGAATAAATAAGTGACTAAATACGTTATTTACTATTAAAATTATTCACAAATTTAAATATTAAACCATAACTATATCCAGGATATTAGATTGAACATGATTATGCCAATTGTACAGGAATGTAGGTTGATATGACAACTAAATAATCATTCAATGAAAAGATGACTGAAAATCAAACTTCTCCATCCCAAAGTTCCTGGAGGGTCTTGAAAGGACCGTCTTTGGAAACGAAACTTTCAGCACGCCAGCCTCGGCTTTGTGGGATTTGATTGATCATTTTCACCTCATCCCCGCTCAATGACCAATCGAATATCCCAACGTTTTGCTTCATTCTCTCGGCGTTAAAACTCTTCACCATTACACTCACCCCTTGTTCGTACACCCATCTTAGGCATACCTGAGCTACAGTCTTCCCTTTTACCTTGGCGATATCCTTGAGAACCTCGCATTCCATGACTCTATTGCTGCCCCAAATGGTTCCTACTGCTCCCAACGGAGAGTAAGCTGACAAAAGGATACCATTTCCATGACAGAACTCTTTCAGTTTCTTTTGTTGCCACAATGGGTTCATTTCCACCTTCATAAAACATTGAAATTGCAATTCACTTACGGTCTCAATTAGGCTAAGTGAGAGTGTGAGAGAGAAAGAGAGAGTTACTTGATTAACAACTGGAGGGATCTTTGCGATTGACAAAATATCGGCCACCTTTTTGCAGGTAAAATTGCTAAGACCTATCGATTTGGTTAAGCCAAGTCTCTGGCAATCTTCCATGGCGGCCCACACGGAGCTGAAATCCATGGCCATGGGTAAAAATACATATTCCTTATCTCCATCGCTCCTTTTCTTAAAGCTTATAGGCCAGTGAATAAGATAAAGATCCAGGTAGTCCAACTTCAGGTTCCTGCAGTTCAAAAGATGGAAAAAGATACAGTATGTATAGCGATACGACAAAAAAGAAACAAAAAAATAATAAAATAAATGGGAAAGTAGTATTTTACTGTAAGCTTCTGTTGAGAGCAGGAAGAACAAGATCTCCATATCCATCGGCGCACCACAACTTGGAAGTGATGAAGAGCTCATTTCGGGATTTGATTAAGCCAAGCGAGACCGCTTCGATGATTGCTTCACCCAACGCCGGCTCTGACCCATAGACAGAAGCTGTATCAAAGTGCCTATAACCGAGTTTGATTGCCTCCAGAACAGCTTGTTTTGTAACTAAGTACGATTCTTCAACTATTACCGATGCCGTGCCAAATCCCAGAACCGGCATTCTTTGACCGCTCCACCTCAAAACACAATCTGGAATACTTTCCATATTCTTTTTAAGAACTCAGAAAAAGAAAGAGAAGAGAATTTTCTGTTGCTTCAAGATGAGGGAGAGGGGGTAAATACAAAGGAAAAATGGTGTATCAACTTGTGAAAGAATGGTTTAGTTTAAATAGGAAATTGTGATTTAATTGGAGTCTTTAATTTATTTTAAAAATGATTATAAAATATGATCTATTTATATGTAAATGTAATTATTTAAATTTAAATTTTAAAAACAAACAACACTCTCTCCATCAATGAAGTTGAGACCACTTGATAAGTTCTCAATGTGAATATTTTAGATTAGTGATGAATTAACAAGTAAAAAACGACCGTAAATATATGAAAAAACATATTAAAAGCCATAATAATCGTGTTACAAGAGCAGAGAAAACATGTACCACAAGAATAAAAAAAGAGAAAATCGCCTCAGTGACCAAAAATGCTTTATAATATACAATTTTAACCAACTTTTTCCGGATTTGCCAAAATGACCAACAAAATCGCAATGCGATCGCTAATTCGCAACGCGATCTCCATTATCGCAAATTCGCGTTGCATTTCGCGTTGCGATTTGGAAATCGCGTTGCGATGGTCTACAGTGTCGTTGCGATTTTCCCAATTCGCAATGCGAATAAGTAAATCGCAACACGAATTGGGAAAATCGCAATGCGATACTGACTATCGCAATGCGATACTTACTATCGCAATGCGATAATACAAAATCGCAACGAGATATTGACTTTCGCAACGCGATTCTGACTTTCGCAACGCGATAATACATAATCGCAATGCGATTTTCAAAGCGCCATTAGTATCCTGGCCAAGTATTTTATTTTTAAATTCCAAACACGAATATTAATATATTGGAACACTTAACCGTCCACAGTATATCCCGTAATCGCAACTCATAACCTAAAACCTAAAATCACAACTCAGTCCCATCTCCATCTCTCACTCTCTCACCCATCTCCGGCGAAATCCGTCCCCATCTCCGGCGAAATCCGTCTATCTCCATCTCTCAGAGTCACCCTCACAATCAGAAATGGAAAATCAACCAACGAGGGTTAGTTTTTTTAATTATTTCCTTTTTGAAATTTTTGCATTATTATTAGGTTTTTCATATTGAAATTGATGATAAGTTTACTGGTAATTTCAATAATAGATTAACCATTTCACTTAGATTGCTTATTAAATCAACCGAGAATCGCAACGCGAAATGAAAATCGCAACGCGATTTTAGTTTCGCGTTGCGATTCTCTCGTTGCGATAGTCAAATTTGCGTTGCGATAGTCAAATTCGCGTTGCGATAGTCATTTTCGTGTTGCGATTTTCATTTTCAGAAACTATTCTTCTTCTGCAAATTGAAACTTGAATGAATTGCATTACTTCAACAAAAAAACAAAGACAAATAAGAAATTCACAGTGTTGCAAATTTAAGTTTGAAGAATAAACTACTACTCTTTATGTTTATTATTGTTTTTGGTATATCTTCACAGTGTAGTTTTTGGTATATCTAACTTAGTATGTTTATTGTGTTTGTAGAACTTTTATTCGGCTCAATTAACCTTAAGAAATAAAGTCAGCCTGGCCAAAACAATTGCGTCGAAGCTTTCACCTGCACAAAGAAAAATGTTTGAGGATACTTGCTTCGGGCCATGGCTGAAAGTACAACATCCCGATGGAGATGCGATGTTGACACACCTATTTCTTCAAACCATGACTAGGGATCTACCAGATACTATACAACGTCGTGATGAAGAGATATGGTTTGATTTTCCACCGGCGTATACGTGTTTTGGGCGGGAGGAGTTTTGCTTAATCACCGGTCTACGCTTCGGACACGATGATGTAGGTCGGTACACTAGACACATTACCCGCCCATCATGGTTATCCCCGGGTTTTTCTTGAGCTGGAGAGGCCGAATCTACACGTGGAAGACCTGACGATATTATTGAATAAGAAAGATGGTTTTACTCGGATGGATGACGTCGACGTTGTCCGAGTATGCCTTCTAATTCTTTTGCATGCCGACTTTTTAGGCAGAGAGGCCAGACAACCTATTCCAAATGATCTAATCAAATTGGTAGAAGACCTAAATGCGTGGAACCTGTTTCCGTGGGGCTCGTATTTATGGAAAGCTACATGGAATAAGTTATCGTCTGCCTTGGATGATCGAAAAAGTTTGCATGGCGATGGTTCCAAATACACTTTGACAGGCTTTATTTGGGCCTTTAAGGTAAGAATTTTTATATAATGTTTCCAAAATTATAAGTAATTATTTAACAATTACTAATGTTTGTTATTATAATGTTTGTAGATTTGGATATTTGAGGCCTTTCCCGCCATGAAGACATATGCAATAAAAACTTCAAATAATATTCCCAGGGCTATTTCCTGGAAGAGGAAACAGACCTTGCAATGGGAAGATTTACTACGGTATACGACAATAAATAATGTAAGTTAACATAAATACTACCATATGTTTATAAACAAGTTATTACTAGTACACGTTTAACTTTGTTTGAGCTTTTATATTGTTAGGAGGCCAACACTCCTCTACAGAGGCTGACACCCACGGAAGCTGAGCTTGCCACTGATTGGTGGCAAGCTAGTAAGCGTTTTTTTGATGGAACGGTTGATGAGCAGCCTCCACTTCGGGAGCCATCACCTCGCCCAGAGCTATCACCTCACCCAGAGCCATCATCTGATCGACCCGGCTATACACCTCCACAACGACAGCCATCACCTATTCTGTCACATCATCGAGCCTCTTCTCCACCATCACCGCAAGATAGGCAACCGGCAAAGATGCCACGACGTTTATCTCCCTGTTCTCCACCTCCACCTCAACGGGATGAGTTAGGGGAGTTACGTGATGAGGTCAATGCCTTGCGTGAGGAGGTCGGTACTTTACGCAAAGACGATGGTGCATGGCGTGTTGAGGTGTCTACATTACGCGGTGAGGTAGTCGCTCTACGTGAGATGGTAGTATCATTGCAGAATGAGGTTCATACTCTACGCAACGAGGGAAGTTTAAGATTTTTCATACTTGTAATTCATTCGGTTGTTGCTAATATTGCTAAAATGTTTTTGTTAGTATTTATTTTTGGTTTTGTTTTTGTCTTTTGGTTGAAGTAATGCAATCCATTCAAGTTTCAATTTGCATAAGAAGAATAGTTTACTTTCGCAACACGAAAATGACTATCGCAACGCGGAAATGGCTATCGCAATGCGAAATGAAAATCGCAACGACAAAATCGCAATGCGAAATGAAATCGCAACGCGAAATGAAAATCGCAATGCGATTTGTGTTTCGCGTTGCGATTTTGTCGTTGCGATTTCATTTCGCATTGCGATTTTGTCGTTGTGATTTTAATTTCGCATTGCGATAGCCATTTCTGCGTTGCGATAGTCATTTTCGCGTTGCGATTTTAAGTTTCGTGTTGCAAAAGTAAACTATTCTTCTTCTGGAATGTTTATATATGTTGTCCTTTTAAATGTTTATATAAGTGCTTACTTCTGGAATGTTATCTGAGCATTTTGTGAACTATGATAGAATAATGACTTGGGTGAATACAATGCTAGTTTGAAACATATTTGTCTTTGTTTAATATCATGTCTGTTTATTTACTGATTTATGTATTAATTTTTTTTAGCGGCCCGATAAGGTGGATGCTTTACGTCGGGTTTTCCTTGCACGACGGAGTTCACGTATCAGACGGCGTGGACGTGCTATTACGTCTCCGTTTACCCCAATGGTGCGAAGACTCCGCAAGAAGAAGCCCGACTCACCGGTCATCCCTCAAGAGTCCCCTCCAATCGTTCAATAGGCCCCTATCCTCCCTCAAGATTCCCCCCACCGTTCAAGAGGCCACTATCATCGTTGAAGAGGTTCCTCCCACCATTCCAGAGCCCGATTCACATGGGGTAATATATCGAAGTATTGAGAAACCCCCACCGGTTCCGGACATGATGGTTGAGAGTTGTCTCTCGTATGAGTTACCGGCTAGTACCCTTCCGGTATCTGAAGTGGAGAGGAGACAACTACCGGAAACAATTGTGGATAATACCCTTTGGGCTAAGACCGCAGTTGATTTTTATCTACATGAGCGGAGCCAAGGGTGTTACACTGACATCAGCAAACTCAACGATGAAATGTTTTTGTTGCTTGATCGGTCTTGGTGGGGTGTACTATTAGGGGTTGAAGATAGTGGCTATTTGGATGGGGAGGTAAGTCTTATATATGATTTTGATTAATTTGTTTAAAAATTAATGTAATTCACTAATATATGTATTTTTTTGTAAAACAACATATCGATGCGTGGGTGTCACGTCTACTAATAATAAGGAAGCTTAGGAAAAATAAAAAAAATTCGTTATATACAATAATGCCGGCGACTTTTCACGCAGTTCACTTGAAGAATCAACGAGATGAATCATTTTCGTTGGGCAATGGACAAGCTAAACTTTATCCTGCATGGTGGGAGGTCGATAAGGTTAGTGTTTATTTTTTAAATTTTTTAAAGGTGTTCATAAATAAGTGCACAAATAAATGAATTATTACTTATGATTGCAGGTGTTTATCCCTGTTTTGGAACGTGGTCACTGGCTTCTCGTCCAACTTCAGCTCCCATCCCTGAAGATAATAGTGTATGACAGCATGATCAATTACATATCACCGTCTGATATGAGAGATATTTTCATGGGATGGAACTCTCATTTGGCTAAATTCTTGGATGGGATTAATTATTGGACTCATTCTGGACACAAGAAGCCAAAGAAGTTCAATGTCACAGTTGTCAGAGACGAGACCGTGCCACAGCAATCACCGGGAGCCAGAGGGGATTGTGGTCCTCTCGTATGCCTTTGCTTGGCGCGTTTGACGACGGGAAGCACAAAGTTTTTACCTCCCACCGATAGAGATAGAGCTGTAGTAGGCTTGTGGTTTCGGCATTATATGGCTAGAGCAATATATTCGAGACGCTGCCTACCTGCATCCGCGTTAT